CTGGGAATCCAGGTCTGGATGGGCAATATAAGCATTTTAAAAATTTCGTTTCACTAACTTCAACATCAAAAAGTAAACACCCACATCACCTTACGAAAACATAGAATAGAACAGAACACTGTTGAACCCTAAATATGAACACTAAAACCAAATTTGAAGGCATAGGGTAAGAATGAGGGAATATCTGAGGGCTAAAATATCCCTTCATATCTTTTAGTTTATAATTTGAGCCTTCTTGAATCAATTTAATATTTCTATAAATGCATACAGGAGGGTATGATGTGTGTATATTTTTTTTTTTACTCACACTTATATGTATATCGAGAAATCTCAAATGCAAACTGTACAAGTCTAGGATACGTTTCCCACACTTATGTTCTTCATAACTTTATTTTCATTCATAATCAGATACACTGTCATTATACAGCTGTCTGAATAAGCAGTTCAATTGCTTTTAAATTATTAGTTAATTCAACAAGCTGCAACTGTCCTGAATGCACTTTTCTAAATCAGCAGTAAACTGTGTCTTCTTACTACAGACTGACTGCAGCCTCTCCCACATACATAGCATTCATCACTTTCTGTCCCTTCCATTCTACCTGATCAAATCATAAAGAGCAATTTTAATACTTCAGTTACATACAACGTCCCATCCAGTCCAATACTGCCAGTTAAAACAAACGCACTCTTATAAGAAAGAATAATTAACTGTTACTGATTTTTACCTAGAATTCTGAAGCTGCAATATAGGAATTCGTACGCTTGTATTTTCACAGTATTTTAAATTGTTAATAAGGGAACTTCACTATTATCTAGAAAGTACAATGCTTTCCAAAACAAAAATCAATCTTCAACCAACAAATAACATAGCTTCAAAAAGTTACCTTAGCAGTTTCATGCCTTGTATCTTAATACAACCAGAAATTGATTGCCTTTGTTTTTAAAGTGCACAAGTTAGAAGTCAAATTTTGCATTATATTACCATGTATGACTTACTACCATGAGACTCTCATGGTCTGGCATGCGTAGATTGCAAACCACTACATGGCTTTTTGCTGCCTGCTTTAATCACAAACCATATGCTTTGAAAGAATATGGAAAACATAATGAAAACTTGTGTAGCAAAAACATAATCCCTTCGTGGCTGCATTAAACATATTGATTAAAAGAAAATCTTACCAAGCAATTTTGAAAAAAATTATTAAACTTTCAATGATGTCTTCACTTTTCAAAGCTGTACACTGCTCTAAAAAGCTGAATGGATACAGTAAAAGGCAGCATCATAGGACAAGGAAGAATGAGTGAGTCAAGCTAAAATGACTAAACATACACGTCTACAAATAAGCTAGGTGTTTGGGCTCACATTACAGTTCATAGAATCAATGGAGTCTAGAGAGCTATCAGACAACCAGCCAGTGGGACTCAGCTCACGGAATGACAGAATAGCTGATGCTGGGGGAAAACTCTGGAGAGCTTCTATTCCAAACCCCTGCTCAAAGCAGGGTCAGATAACAGCAGGTTGCTCAGGGCTGTGCCCAGCCGTGTTGTGAGTCTCTTCAGATGGACAGAGATGTGGATAGAGGCTCCCCAGCCTCTCTGGGTACCTGCTTCTTTGTTTCAACACCAACTGCCTCAATGTAGGAGTCCAGGCCTTCTGAGATGCTTTTGGATTAGTCACACATCCACAAAAGAAAGTCAGATAAAGCAGATCCATATTCTTTGCAGAAGGCAGTTATATACCAAACTCCAGTATATAAAAATGTCACTATATATACCCACGCATGGGTAACTGAACAGAGTAATACATATCTACTTAATGGTAAACTTAAATGCACTCCACGGTCTATTGATTACTACGTCCCCCATTAGTAATAGTTAGAGACAGTACATAAATAGACATCTAAATGTATTTCTCAGTCTATCATTCACTTTCTACCATAAACAACAGAAAGAAAGGAGAGAAAAAAAAAAAAAAAATCAAATTAGACATACCGAGTCTCTATCATTGAAACTGTTTAGGAACATGGACCAGGTGTTCTTGCACTGCCTTTCCAGCCCTACAGAAATCTATTTAAAATTTTGTATTAATTTAAAGAGATATACTTACAGCATGTGCTCCCTGTATTGTCCGTACAAGGTTGATTCCTTTCCATACATATATATCTCCATTCAGTGCACCAGAATACGTCACTTCATCCCTTGCACAGGCTAGGCACAATATAGTTTGGAGATCACCAGTTTTGCCAAAAACACCACGTTTTGGTGTCAATGAATTGCCACACAAGCTCCAGAACTGCAATATAAAGGGATTTAGAAAGATGGATATTTTGCTAACATCCTATAATTTAATATGTAAATCTAAAAGATAAGTACCTTGCCTCCAAAAGACATCATCATTCATACCTTTTTCCCTGTTTTAATTCTCCAGCTGGTTAACAACTTTTCATGTTATTAACCAACTTTATCTTCCAATAAAATCAGCACAGCAGACTAGTTGGAAAGGAGGTTTGGGATATCTGTATTAACTCAAACTGAAATTGTTTCAAATTATAATTTCTGAGTCAGTTGTATTTCAGTAATTTTTTAAAAGCATTTCATAATAGAATTATCTGATCTTTCTTTGATGTAAGACTTCCACTTTGCCAATGCTGTATTTGTACTTTATGTTACTTTAAGCATTTAGAGATTAGGCATTAAAGATGCAATCTAAGCATGTGAATGTCTGATAAGGTTGCTATTTGCTGTTTTTTATCAACTGGTTTTATTATCGACCTACCACATCTCATCAGAAGCACTGATCAGGCAAAGCAGCCATCTAAGGTGGACATTACTGAGAACTATCTAATAAACCAGTAGCATGTGATTACAGCAATGACATGAGAGTGAATTTCCTCCTAGGTGATCCAACATTTACTAATGACTCCTAAACTAAAGACATGCAAGGTCTCTTGTCAGAAAACAATATGGGCCAACCAAATCTCCAGCTATGCTCTAGTTTCCGAGAGCTCTGCACATGCGTATGCCCTTCAAACCCTCCTGTCCAAACGTAAATGTGCACTGGAAAGTCAACAAGCTGCTGGAGTAATCCAGTGCAAAACATGAAAGAATTTCTTTCATCACTGCTGACAGGTTACTCTTGCATTGTCTCAGCATGTCCCTGTATCCATGTTCATGAAACTATTTCACAGCAAGTCTCTCTGTTACCAATAATTAATCAAATTTCTGAGCATAGACTTCAATTAATACAAGATAATGTATGAAGTTACAATGAACAGATTTTTGTACCAGCAATACTGTAATTAAGAAATACCATATACTGATTAGACCAATCCCTTTATCTTAACTAGTCTTTAACCAAAGCACACAGGCCATAGATTATGTTATTGCTTGAGAAGCAGCTGCACAATCACTGCATACATCAAACACTTAGATCCAATATGGAAGCAGGTAACATCTAAGAAAAGTAATTGCTCAGTATCAGTTCACTTGGAATTATCTACATAATATGATTAAGTAGTACTACAATTTGCATAAAATATGTGAGGAAAAAATACAATACATTAAAGTAATTATTGACACCTTGAACAAGAAGAGATGGTTTAAGAAAAATACACATCAACAAAAATCTTTCTCCTGATCCAAATGCCTATAAATCTCTAGGATTCAGATTTTTAGTTAATATTTTCTCAAAGGAAACACCAAATATTTTTGAAATGCTATTGTTATTTAAAAAGGCTTCATGGAGCCTTAAAAGATGCTCAAATAAACTTCGGTTTTATCTAAACAGATATGTTTTGACATCATAAAGCCACCTTAAATTTACTGAATCACTGCTGGCAAAGGTTACTCCACTATTGACATAACAGTCCTTTTAGACCCTGAAGTAGGAAAAAAAAGATCATTATTAATCAAGCTTGTGGAAATCTGTAAATGACATGCTAAACACTATGCTAAATCAAAGATGTATGCAATCTAGGCAACACATTGAACACTTTTTTCAATAAACCATTAATACATATTAATCTAAAAGTTCATTGTATAAAAAGCAACATTTTTCCCACCATAGGAACCTACACATAAGAGCTGTCATCTACTGCTGTTACATGGTAACACAGAAAACAATGCATAGGAGAAGGCAGTGACTTCAGGAAACACATTTGATGGCAGTCAAGCATTGATAATCCTGATGACCAGTTAAATCTGAAAAAGAAGCTGTTTCTGCACAGCAGCTGGTACACAGATCAAAGTAGTGCGTTTCACAGAAACAATCCTGCTTGAAAAAGACAAGAACTGTCCAAATTACGAATCCTGTAAAAGGTACAGAATGCTCAAAATGACAAAGGTAGGAATGACAGCAGGGAAAAGAAAAGAATTAAAAGAAAGATCAAGCATTTTCCTTCTCTTTCCACTCTATCCCCATGTTCCATCAAACTGTAAGAAATGGTTTTTCAACTCATTTCACCTCTACAGTGTAACAATTCATTAACTGTTCAAGAATCAGGAACTTGAGTACCTGGACTCACCTTAAACATGAGCATCCTGTCTTATGCTACTTGGGATTCTAGACAACATGCTACTTGGCATGTTTTAGACAATCTTACTTTTAAATTGTATTACGATCATTACATATGATGTTAATGACAACTGTTTCATTCCTTCTGCATTCCTCCTATCAGGCCATGAACTCTCTTCAGCAGGTATTGTCTGTTTTCCACTATATATATATATATACTGTAAAATGTCTAGTGTAGTCAGGTGCGATACACAGACACCTTTCATATTATAATTATATATTCCTTTTAGATTTATTTTTACATATTTTATAGAGTATAAACTACTGCAGCTTAAATATTTTATGAATTAACATTTATTTAATTACCTTGATGTGTTTTACGCCGCAGCTGACGAGCTTGTTTGGCTGGTACAAATCCCAAGAAATATCAAATATCTGCATGAAAAAAGCCAAGGATGTCAGCAGAGATGGCCTTTCTAGCACAGGTCAGTTGAGAAAGTAAACTTGTAGCAAATTAACAAACAGTTTGAAATGCTTTCAATGGAAGTATTGGAATGACCTTTTTATCCCCTCATTCAATACTGAAATTGCAATGCATAGCTCCTATTAGTTCTCTGGTTTTCCCTTTTCCTAATTACAACACATGATAAAACAACATTAAGGTTCATTTACAGACTAGAAAACTTCAAGCTATTATTTGCATTTTGATTTCCTATATGGAAATGCATTAGTTTTGCACTTCCCCTACATGCTTACAGTCTCAAAAAACCATACACAAATAAACAATGAGTTAAGTACTTTATTTTGGAAATAAATGCACATATCTTAAATATCTTCACATATCTTAATATACATCCAAACTTTATGCAAATTCAATTTCTAAAACATACATTTTTTTTTTCCTTCAGACATAGCTCTACTATGTATACACAGACATAGTTTAACAAACTAAAGTTACACTGACACTCAAATTCTTTAGTTATACTTACTCTGTCTGTATGACCAGGAGCCACTGATAACAATTTTCCTTTTCTCCAGTCCCATACACAAACTGTGTTTTTCGAATCCAAACCAACTGAGACCAAACGCTAAAAATGTCCAAATTAAATAAATAAAAATAACTTAATATATTAATAAATGCTAGAATCTTCATTTGCAATGACAACAAATTCATAACATATTTGAGTTAGAAACAACAGCTACATTGTGATATAGAAGAAAACTAAAGATACAACATCTTATGCTAAAGCTTCCATAGACACATCTCCTCAGTTATGACATCATGATCATAAAGTAAGATCTTCTTGGATAACAACACATTTCTGATTTATAATGTTTAATACATATAATTACATATAGCACACACGCCAAACATATATAGCGCACATGTCAAATAGCAGTGAGGAAATATTTGCAAGAAAGGAATAACCTCAGTGAACTTAATGAAAGTGAGTTTACCTCTAATACATGTTACCTTTAAAGATAAACCTGTGTTTACCTTTAATCACATATAACTTGCAGCATTTAAGTATTTATTTACAAGTTCAGGAGATACAAATTAAAAATACTTTCTTCAGTCTTATTGGAAACAAATAGAAGATTAAGAACAGCTAAAAGCTTCAAAAGTCTTGTTTGAGTCTTCAAAACATGTATGAGCAGCTATTCTATTGGGGTACTGGTCGACAGCCAGCTGAACATGAGCCAGCAGTGTGCTCAGGTGGCCAAGAAGGCCAACAGCATCCTGGCCTGTATCAGCCATAGTGTGGCCAGCAGGAGCAGGGAGGTGATCGTGCCCCTGTACTCGGCACTGGTGAGGCTGCACCTCGAATGCTGTGTGCAGTTTTGGGCCCCTCACTGCAAGGAGGACACTGAGGTGCTGGAGCGTGTCCAGAGAAGGGCAACAAAGCTGGTGAAGAGTCTGGGGAACAGGTCTGGTGAGGAGCGGCTGAGGGACCTGGGGTTGTTTGGTCTGGAGAAGAGGAGGCTGAGGGGAGACCTTATCGCTCTCTACAGCTGCCTGAAAGGAGGTTGTAGCAAGGTGGGGGTCGGTCTCTTCTCCCAAGTAACAAGTGATAGGATGAGAGGAAATGGCCTCAGTTTGTGCCAGGGGAGGTTTAGATTGGACATTAGGAAAAAATTCTTTACTGAAAGGATTGTCAAGCACTGGAACAGGCTGCCCAGGGAAGTGGTGTAGTCACCGTCCCTGGAAGTGTTCAAAAAAAATGTTGATGTAGCACTTCTAGACACGTTTTAGTGGGCATGGTGGTATTAGGTCGACAGTTTGATTTGATGATCTTACAGGTCTTTTCCAACCTAATGATTCTATGACTCTATCCCTTTCTGAATTCTTTCTCAAAACAGAATTCAACAAGACCCTGAACATACAAATTTATTAAGTCTTTAACATTCAAAAAGAGTCTGCAGCCAGTTAAATTGTAAAACCAGGAAAGACAAAAAAGATTGTTCCAAGAAAATACAGAAAAAAAAGTGAGATCTTTCTATGCTCTGCAGCCTGTCTTGTCTTCAACTATGAAGATATTTTGCACAGATTTCTTGACACAAATCATTGACCATGTTAGCCAACAGTCGACTTTTACTATATCTGTTAACCAGTCAAAATGTTATTTTTCCTATAGAAATCCACATCAGAAAGCCTAACAATATTAAACATCGGATAAAAAGAAACTGAGTGATTTTGAGTTTGGTTTTTAAAGAAAATTAAGTCTTTTTGTTCAGTTTATGCATGGATTGTGACATCTTAATCTTCATAAATGAAAGCTTTGCAAATATTTAGGACATTTTTTTTTCTTCACTGTTCAGCAGTTAATACCTACACATTAAAGACAAATTCATTTCCAATTTTACGTGAATTGTCAAAGTGAGTTTGTAAAAGCAAAAGCAAATCCCAAACTTCAGTAAATTTTTTCCCAAAGACAGAAACCTATTCCAAATAACATCATTTCTTTACTGTCTGAAAAGCTCCAAGACTATGAGAAGAAAAAGAAACAAGTTAAATACAATTGCTATCCAAACTCCCTCCCTATTTATTAATGCCAACTTTGATTTTTCAATTATTGCAAAGTCCAACCTTTCTATTCCATCTTTGAAAACATTCTTGGAAGGAACATCAGTTTCAATTCCAGCTACACTTCCAAGCAGTTCAATTCCAGTCCGACTGTGGAATGAGGTGTAAATGCAGACTACTTTTACAATTACTCCATACCTAACACAAAAAATTTGGGTGATACCCTTCCAAACATAAGCCAATACACTGACTTCTCAAAAAGAGAGATTAAATGATGTTCTAGGTTCTCCTAAGAACGAGACAATTTTGTTACCAACCAGCACACCCTCACAGTGGAGTAGAGCTCAGAGAAGAGCAAAAAGAAAAACCAGTAAGCATTTACAGCTTTAAACACATGAATCAGTACTGTGTACTCCTAGAACAAATCAAAGATCTACATTCAAATCTCTCCAATACACACAGAGGATGCATAACTGCATTCTAAAAAGAGAGTCAGGGGACTTCAATACAGTTTGACCTTAAAGTTACTAAGGCTGTTCAAGTAAGGAAGTGACACGAGTTTCCACAGACAAGTATATAGAGAAAAGATATCACTGTCAAGGAGAAATGGTGTTCTAGAAAGATGCTGACTCTAGAAGCTGACTTTCCAAATGAGGAAGCTAAATGGTAAAATCTGTAGATTGTTCCAAAAAACCCAAAACCTCCCCACAACAATTACAGCATGTTTTAACAGAAACAAGTTACATCTAAGCTTTCCTCTATTCCTGTGCAACAGAGCTCCACCTGATACTGTCTTTATAAGGACTGGTCTCTACAATACATCCTCACTGGAGAAAGCAATAATAAGTAACAGGTATGGACCTTTTTAGCAAGGGAAAGAAACTGAAAATATAGCTAAATCTGAACATCGCATTGCAAGGCTAAGTAGGAGAGGAAGAAGTGCTGCTTAAGGCCAGGAAAGCACAACTGCAGAAAGGACTTTCATGGCTAATACCTCTTCAGCTGCTACCTAATGTGTATTTTCCATCTCTAACACATCAATCAAGAAAGATTCTTTACTCGCAACAGCAAGTGTCTAGTAAAAATTATCTCCCTTATAACTAGCAGCTCTGAGAACCAATTTACTACTCAGAGAATGTATTAAAGTAATAAAATTATAATCTAATATAACCTTTTTTTTGATTTTTAGATCCAGGATACATAAGTCTGAAAAAACAATCAAAACGTGGAGAGCCACCAACACATGCAAAATGCATGACAGATACTTCCTGAAGACATTTGGAGTCCAAGACGAGTAACACAATGAGAGTGCCATCACTTTCTGCACAAGGCATGCCCCTGCACAGGGGAGGTCCACTGTCTCCAACCATTTGCTGCAACCCTGAACTCTGGCCCACAGACTAGACGAACCTCCCTACCACCTCGTCTTCATGCAAAACTCTCTCGAAGTCATACTCTTCTTGCCAAACGTGAATATTTGTCAGTCACTACTAATGCCAACTTTTTTCCTCAGCTTGACAACAAGCAATAAAGCATAAGTTAATACACTTCCTTAAAGAGAGAAAGCTACATAATGAGATTTCTGACAGATAAACAACTTATTTAGGTGTTTGAAAAAAGAACATGAATTACATACCTGACCATCTAAATCAAAAGCCAAGCAAGCTATACCATGTGTGTGAACATCTTTCAGAACGGAAACAGTTTGCACAGTGTATGAGTCCCACACGCAGATGTATGGTTCTTTTCCAACTTGGCCTGTTGCCACCAACACACGTTCAGGATGCAAAGCAAGGCTGCCAAAGAAAAAGATAGAAAATGTTTTTGCATGAAACTTTTATGTTTGCCTAGCTGTCTGCATTAATATTTTTCCTTAAAAAGTATTTTACAATATTTTCCCTTTGATAGTAGATACTAACAAGTAATTTTGAATCACAGATTCCACAATAGCTGTAAAATACCCTTAATACAGTACATGCCACCACCTTTCTTGAATTTGAACCTTCATGCCTTCTCCAATTAAACTAATTGCAGAATAGTCATTAATCCTCTGTTCCAAAATGCAAAGTTTATTAAATTATGTCAGACTTTTGCACTAAAAAAATACCTATTTTCCCTTTCTGTTTCTTAATGTTTAAAAATACAAAGGATGGACAACAAAAGTTAGCGTTTACCTATCCACACATCTATCACCAACGGAAAGAGATGCGCATCTCCCGAAGTATTTCATTCCATACACTATTTGACATCCTTTTTATGAGGGGATGGAATAGCCTTTTGAAGCTCTCTCTCCACTGATCGTACAGCTAGCCAAAGCATGACTAGCTTAGACTAGATGTTATGACTGGACTTCAGATGACTAAATCAAAATGAGATTATCTTAAATGTCTTAATTTTAATATAGAACAATTGGGAACAGTTGATTTGAATAATTAACTTTTCACATTTGTATCATTGCAGAGAATCTTCTTGCAGTTCATATTCCACTCTTTCAAAGTCCACAGAGGATAGTCAGAACTGTTGCGTCCAATCTGGGACCAAGTTAGAAAGCACAATAGTCAGCAAGACAGTTCTTTGTTTTGTTTATGCAAGCAAGCTGCAAGGAAGGATTGGAGGTCTGAAGATTCATATTTCATAATACAGAAAAGTAAGTAAGAACATATTCTAATAGACACCCAACTAAGTTACTTGATGCATTCTACACAGACGAGGTACAGCAGTCCAAAATGATGTGAGAAATACTACATGTAAGTCAGAAAGATAAAATTTCAAAAGTTGGCTATTTAACTTGGCTAAAAAATTTCCTCCACTAACTAATCACAGAGTAATAACCTTGAGAGACCGGTGGGCAGAACCACGAATAACATATGCTAAATGTATTTATCTTCTCAACATCACTTGGAAAGGAGAAAGATTGAGCACTTTGCAATGATAAGATGATCATACACCTGAACACAGATTTTGATAAGTGAAGTTCAAAGAGGAAAGGCAAGGGGAGTCAATAAACATGGAAGAAACAGCCAGGATAAAGCTAATCAGGAAATGACCAGGAAAAAAAAAAAGATCTAATTCAAAAGACTGTATACATTTCCTATATACAAAAAGAGCAAGAGAAAACCATGTTAGAAGCTGCTTAATATTTCATGAAGTCACACTATGTTACGCAATACACTGTGTATTAAAACAGCAGTACACTGCTGTTTTAAATCAGCATTTCAGTTGGTTGATATTGCTTGACAAATTCCACATGCACAACTCTGAGAGGATTCTTTAACTTCCAAGTTTCTACAAAAGGTAAAAAGCCTCTCGACCTTTCAATTTTTCTATCGGAATTCCTCTTCTTTGCTACTCCACATTATCCTCAGCATCTGGATCAAGCAACCAACATCTCCCCATTTCGCTTGTTTTCAATTCCAGAGTTACTTCTCTGGCTCTTCCTTTCTTTCTTTATTTGACAGAGCAACTTCATAATTAAAAAACAATACAGAAAAGAGCTAGCAGGCAAAACCTGTCATGTTTCACTTCAGTTCTGCCACCTAATCCTGACCAACACCTGCACATCTCCCAGACCATACGCAGGTAGATGGTGTACGCATGGGGTAAAAGGAAAAGCATCTGGAGGGGGAGAAAATGCTGCATTTGAAATGATCTAATTTTTACAATGATAGCACAGAAAGGGAGAGGTAAGACCATATGGACAATAAAAAAATTCAAGAAGAAAAAGGAAGTTAAAAGAATAAGCATGGAGGGTGGGGGGTGGGGGTGGGGAAAGAGACACTGAAACTAAGAGAAAAAGTGAAAACACAGCAGTCTTATGACTGATTCATGACCTCTTCAATCCCATACTTAGCTCTACTATTAGTGCATGGTGCAGTTTCAGACAAGTGAAAATCACCCCACAATGGCAACTTTGAAAAATGCTCAGGCACCACCCTGGACGGACACACATGCAAAAGCACTCCCATGCCACACCTTACAAAATGCTTTCCAGCGACCAAAAATCAGCTTAGCACATTTTTAATTAAAGACCAGAAGCGACAAACACAATGCATCAGAGATGGAAGGGACAACAGTAAAGGCACTACCAAGGGCCAGGAAAACACTGTCCTAGCACAAGTATACCAACTAATTCCACTCGAAGCGTATCAGGTGAATACAGAGAATGTTTCCTCTCTTTCTAATTAACAGATGGCAAGTTCTGTGATTCTGTGTGAAATAATACCTAATACCAATATCATACTATTAGTTCTTTCTGTATCGTGATATAAAATATTGGCTTAAACAACTGAACTCAAAATCTGCCTTGATATGAGACACTGCAGCACAAATTAAGAACAAAAGCCTGCATTTTAATCACAACAGACAACACAGTAGAATTACCACTGTCCTTCCCCTATCACTTCAGTCTCTATAGCAAATTGCTAGCAATCTTTCTAGACAGTCATCGAAAGTAGAAGAAAATAAATATACAATATGTATTTTAAAACAGCAAGCTTTTTTAAAAAATGCCAAGACACAGGGAATATTTCAGGGAAACTGAACAGCAGAGCTGTTGGCAGTGGCTGAAGAAATACTTATCTAAAAACACCTTCCCTCACCATTTCTTCCAGACCAAGGAGTGAAAGACAGGTTAAAGTACTACTCACAAGTATTTTATCTCACTGGCTACCAGAACGGATGGAAAAGGGAAGCATGGAGAGAGTCAAGCAACTGCTATTTCTATTACCAACACTAAGAGAAGGAACTGCTACACTTATTTACATGATTTTCATACGAAACACGAATGGCAAAAATATGCTTTTCCTTAATATGAAAGTCTTCGCTATTATTACACCCATGGGGCATCGTGCAGAATTACAGATCTGAAATTTTGAGTTCTGAGCAAAACTCAAGGATTACACTTCAGTTTTAGGCAATATGGACACCCCTTCAGTTCTATCATTGGACTATGAGTGACTAAGCAATCCTTACAGGCATAGCAATTAACACAAAAATACAGTATCTTGATCTAACCTCTAGAGTAAAAGCATTGCTACAACTCACATATTCAGGAACTTTCATTATTAAAGCAGTCCTGAGCAATGCACTGTAAATAGCTTCTTAGTGCAGAAAGAAAAAACGTAACTAGAATGGGTGCTCGGAAATGGATAACCATGAATGTTTGCTATACAGGGACTATGTTGACTCCTGGGCATGATGCAGTTAACAGGATCAAACAATGAGTGCAAGTTATCTCTGGATAAGCCAGGTAAGATCTCCAAGACACCTCTACAGAGGTGTTAATAGTGTACAACTGTTGGGATGGCATTTGAAGTAGTTGCTTACCATCCATCCAGTCAGTCCCTGAGGACAGGCAGAAAAGAATAAGTGTGGGTCAGCTCTTACAACAGCTCCGAATCTGTTGGTGTGGGCTCTGTGAACTTACGTACACTCACCCCCTCATACGGATTTTCTTGCATTTTTTCTCCTAGGGAGAACAAGGAGATTGCTTAGTGGATTGAGAAGCTCTGCACTCAGAAGGAGAGAATTCATGTTCCTTTTACTGCCCTGGTAACGAAAGCTGGGATGGCCTATCCCAGATTAGAATGCCGAAACTGTGCTTGCATCTAGCCCACACAGCTAGACTGTAAACTTGTGCCCGATTTCCTTCCTCTTCGTTGATGGATGACTAAGCTGATGAATTAGGTATCGCTGCTTGTCCAAAGAAGGAAACAAATATTCCTAACAAGACAAGTTCTTCAGGCCTTCTTGCTTGCCTCTGGCCTTTCTGACCCAGGCTTTTCAAGAACAGATGTTAGATCTAACATAGCGTCTCTGAAGAGGGAGATATGAAGAAAAATGTCCAAAAGGCAAATATGACCACGAAACAAAGAGGAATTAGGCTAACAAACTGCTACATCAAATTAATTTTTAAATTGGCTATAAAATTTGATACTTCTCAGAAGAGTTCAGAAGCAGAAAATTTGAAAAATCTGCCTGTTGCTATTGCAACAAAACCAAACTGGTGGACCTGTAGAGAACTGAGATTTCCACTGATATCTCCGACTGACTGGTCTTTTCCTAGATAGATATTCAAAGCAGGCTGAAATACAGAATTACAATTCTAACAGTACACTAAAAAGGGGTACGTTTCTCCATTTACTGCATTCAAGCTCCACTTTTATACTTCAAAAATAAAAGCTTCTTTCTCCCTTTTAGAGCAGCAGGTAAGCATTACCACCATTTTGACCAGATTCATGCACTGTACAATACCTATGTTAGATTAGTGATATTAAATATTAATGGCAGCCTATGAAAAAAAAAAAAGTATAAAAACTGACCATACCGTGTCTGTTTGGGATAAGACCAGACACCTGGACATGACCCTCTAATTTGTGTGAGATTTGTAGTGGCCAGTGATCCTGAGTAAGAATAGTCTATAATAAAATACTTTATTATGAAAGAAATTAAGATCTTTTTCATCTTTACTTGGTTTGTGCTGAGCATTAACAGGCATTGATTAATACAGACAAGCTGCAGACAAGAGCACAGTATTAAAGATGATGTTTCCTTAGCAACAATATTGGAGGAAAATCCAAGAATATATTCATGTGACTATTCCTGAGCTTCATAAAACTAGGGCACCAGTAAAAATGCACAAAAGAGTACTGCAGTGAAGTAACAGCCCTTCAGGTATCTATCAATTGTCAGTTTCAAGTGTGAAATAGTTTCTATGAGTAAACACAGAAAAATATTTTCATTGTATGTTTATAGACATTTTACATATCGTTGTGGATACTTTCTTATTTGCTGACATTTATCTGTATTTCCCCAGGAAGAATGACAGGAGAAACTACAAACCACTTCTGTCATATTATTTAAGTTGTTAAAGGAGAAAGAGCTGTAAGCAGCAACCATCTCCCATCAAAGTTTAAATAGACCAAGTCAGAGCAGTACTCATTATGGAGTATGATATGGGTCTTCCATATAGTTACTGTCACAGCATCAATACTGTCAAATATAGCTTTCTGAGATTCCTTAAACTGTACAAGCAGCCAACTTACAAGTAAGAGAGTATGAACTGGAGCCAGGGAGGGTGGACTAAAACTGTTGTTATTCCCAGCTGCAGTTTATCTCATTACCATGTTTTTAGATTAACAAGAAATAATTATAAGCAATCTAGAGAATCCTAGAAATTGTTGGGCTTCTATCTGTTCCAATGCTCAGAAAGGGGAAGAAAAAAAAAGACTGGATGAACTTCAAAGAGAAAGAAAGAGTACAGCAACTCTGATGCAAAGTTCCCAACTCATCAAATATGAAAACTCAGGAAAGAGAATCTGGGAACTCTATGCCACTTTACTCAGATGCCCATTTTCACCTTGCATAGTCATGTCCTCCACTGCTGTGGAAGGGATTGACTTAAGCTTTCTAGCAAGATATTAAAAATAAAAGATATTCCCTTTCTTTTCAATTATGAATGATTTTGCCAGTGCCAACAGGAGAACTCGCGTTTTGACTGAGCTTGAGGTGCTGGGTTTTTTCCAGATTCTTTATTATCTTGACACTTTCATCACTAGGTTTTTACTATCTGAGGAAAGTTTCTTTTCTAACGTGTCCCTTGAAAAAGAAGGTAGCAAATTTACTTGCATTTTCCTGACAAAAAAACTCTCCTCACAGAAAAGTCAGAAATATTAGACACTCCAAAATGATTTGGAGATAAATTTGCTAAGGCAATGTCCTATTATCTTTTACTAGCTATTCACATGAAAGAAGCAATTCTGGTTATAATAATTAGTGGTACAATAATGTGACATATTAAAGCCTGAACATAACCAAGAAATGGAATCCCACCTAAAAAAGTATCCAACTTTCATCTTTCCTCATGAGACACTGCAAGGACTTAAGACTCATTCTTTAAACCACTGTTAGATATAAACTGTCAAACACATCCCCCCAGTACCAGCAACCAAAAAAAAAAG